TGGGTGGTGGAGGAGATGGTTGGGTGGGTGGTTGGATGGTTGAGGAGGTGGTTGGATGGTTGGTTGGATGGTTGAGGAGATGGTTGGATGGATGGTTGAGGAGATGGTTGGATGGATGGTTGGTTGAGGAGATGGTTGGATGGATGGTTGAGGAGATGGTTGGGTGGTTGGTTGGATGGTTTGTTGGGTGGTTGAGTAGATGGTTGGGTGGTTGGTTGGTCGGTTGGTGGGTTGGGTGGTTGGTTGGGTGATCGAGTAGATGGTTGGATGGTTGGGTGGGTGGTTGAGTAGATGGTTGGTTGGATGATTGGCTGGACGGGTGGTTGGACGGTCGGTTGGTTGGTTGGTTGAGTAGATGGTTGGCTGGTTGGATGGTCGGATGGGTGGGTGGGTGAGGAGCTGGTTGGATGGTCGGTGGGTGGGTTGGTTGGGTGCTCAGTTGGTTGGATGGTTGGATGGTTGGTCGGTCGGGTGGGTGGGTGGTTGGATGGGTGGGTGGGTGGCAGGAGATGGTTGGCTGGGTGGTGGCCTGACTGACGGGTTGGGTGGGGACAGGGAGAAGGTCAGTGGCCGGTTGGGTGGGACGGACGGTTGGGTGAGTCCTTAGAGAGGACGGAGACGAGTGGGGCACGGGTGGGTGGAGAGCTTGGAGATGGCCAGATGGGTGGCTTGGAGAGGTGGACCAAGGGCTGGATGGACACCAGAGATGATGGGTGGATGGATGGATGGATGGATGGATGGATGGATGGACACCTGAGATGATCGATGGATGGATGGATGGATGGATGGACACCAGAGATGACGGGTGGGTGGATGGATGGATGGATGGATGGACACCAGAGATGACGGGTGGCCTGCTGGCCACCAGCCGTGGTGCTTGGTTGGGTGGAGAACCGCTTGGTTGGGCTCTGCAGAGCTGGAAGGGTTCCCTGAGGAACCGGGCGGACTCTTGGGTGGACTCTACAGAGCCGTAGGACCCCGGGTGGGACCCGAAGATCTCCACCTCCCCAGGAGAACCTCAACCCACCTCCTGGTGTTTTTTGACCATCTCCTTTCTTCTCCTCCTGCCCAGCTCTGGACCTTTCGACCGGTCTTTGCTTGGAAACGGCTTCCAAAGAACTGGACGGTCTTTGGGTCACCGTCTCCGTCTTCGTCGTCCTTTTCCTCCTCAGCGTTTGTTACAGCGCTACCGTCACCCTCTTCAAGGTGGGCTTCCGTCCTCACG